CCTCATAATAACATCATAGGTGCATCATCATTCATCATATTCATCATATTCTTCATATTCATCATCATCAAACGTCATAGCTTATCAACACAGTCATCATCGTATGCTACGTCATCATAATTTGTTATAATAATCATCTTCACACATCATAGCTCATCATAATAATCATCATCACCATATAAATCATCGTATCTCATATAACTCATCATAATAATCATCGTCATCACATAAATCATCATATCTCATGTTATCAAATAATTCATCATAATAATCATCATCATCACATAAATCATCATAATTCATCAAACAGCATATAATTATAATTCATCATAATAATTAATCTCACACATCATGTCATCATATAATCACGTAGAAATCACATATTAGCTCATAGTCATATTATCACATATTATCCCATATTAATTCATAATGCTACCCCATATTCTCTCATATTAATTTATCAAATTATACTCGCGGTAATTCTCACACTATCGCCTATCAATCACATAAACTTCACAATCCTAATCATGTTAATTCATCATATTATCACAGTTACCCTCATGGTAATTCATCAGGAAAATCGCAGCATCAAAACATCAAGACATCCTTGAACCAGAACATGATTCATTAATAGAACATATACACAATTGACTTCTCAAACATAATTAGATATAAAAATATTGGGAAAACAATTCCCTTATCTATACTATGTTATAGCCCTGTTTATTAGCTTTCCAACGCTTCGAACGGGGGTCAAAACGGACTTACGGATCAAAAGTTACGTCCAAAACAATTTCGACCAAAACATGAACAGTCGTGACGAACAGCAAAACGCTGTTACGCTCCGGAACCTAAATCAACCCAAAAATTCACACGATTCACTTCCTTAATGCCCCTAAAACATCCCTAAATCATCCGTAAGGTCCTACGACGATAAAGGCACAAAACCTACGGTTCATTAGGCCAATCCGGCAACATTTGCACTGCCTAAATCACTATTTTCCTGCAATTGCTCTGAGTGCATCAGAGTTACTCACATTTGAACATTCCTATTCCTACAGGGTCAAACATATCATAATCCAAAGTTTTGGCCAAGGCAAAAATCATTATTTCTCATCTCTACACTCAAAGGGTCAAGAATACTAACCACTAACCTCCAGGGTCTACCGTCAATTTCCTTACAATTGCTCCGAAGGCATCGTAATTTCAAATATCAAATATTCTATCCCATATGGGCAGACATATAACGATCTAAGGTTTTGGCCAGGCCTAAGGTTTCCTTTCTCATATCAATATTCAGTGTTACATACCATTAACCATAACCTTAAAGTCTTATCACCAATTTCCCTATTTTCCCACAACCATCCCAAAATACCTTAAATCTTAAATCAACCATAAACACATCTAAAGGCATACATGGAAAATCATGAACAACGATACTCCCCATACCTTAACCGATTCAAAGCTTTCACGATTAACTCCGGCAATCTTCCGAAGCTTTTGCCTCCATTGATCCCTCCTCAGAGCTCTGGCCTCCATTCTTTTCACGGTTAACAAAATGAATCCTCAACCTTCAGAATTCTATTTTGTCAAACTTAGACTTGGGCCACACAATTGGGTTTTTCCCATAACACCCTTACTAACTCTTCATAATGCCCAACTTACCCTTATTTCACTTATATTTATTTTAATCAATAATAATACTAATATTCTCATATAGTATACTATTAATTAAATAAATAGTCCAAAAATGCACATTTTCTCAATAATCCACAAAACCACCGAAAACCACCCAAAATACGAATATTCTCAATTAAATAATTAATTGAAATATTCCGCTTTTGGGGTGTTACATTTAGCGGATAGTGGAAATTAGAAGCAAAAAGATTTAAACACATCAGCTCAAAACAAATCAACTCGGAAACAGAGAAAAAAAGGGACAAGAATGAAAGATAAGTGTATTGTATCTATATCATAAATCGCAGAAAAAAAATGTGTCACCTCATTAAGCAGCACCAAAACTCGCTCAACCATTGTAGATGTCTGGTATCATCAATAAATATAAACAATTCAGTTCCAATATAAAAAGCAAATACTCAAAGGAAAAATAAAATGTTGACGAAGCAGTGTTTATAAAACCTTTCCGCTTCCTGGACCAACTACAATCATTAAAAGAGTGGAAACATCAGTGCAAGCTGCTTCTCTTTGTCTATCATTTAGGGATTCCAAGTATTTAGAATATTCCTCTGGCATGGTTCCACTCAATAAACCTTGCCTAGTACTATCACTATGCACACATTCTTCTTTATGATCCAAAGCAATCCCAGGACTAAACATGTCACCATTTCCTATACCCTTAGAAACATAACTAGTTCCTGAAACCAGATCAACGTTACCAACTACACCGCTTTCACCGCAGATCTCTCCTCACAAAGAATGTCAATTTATTCCAAAATGGACTCATCAAAATCATCATTTCCAATATCCTTATAAATAATATTACCAACTACATCAATCTCGCTTGAAACTTTCTCCTGACAACTATGGTCTAAAACCTGCCCAGCTGCTTTCACCCCAGATTTCTCCTCACAATTTGACTCCTTTTGTCTAGTGGAGATCGGAGTCTCTTAGCTGTATCCTCTTCAGTGTTGAACGTTTGTGCTAAAAACTCTAAGCTGAAGCCACTCAGAACGCTATTACCTTCATTTTGTTCTTCGGATTCCTCTTCTTGTTGGTGTTGTCCAGTAACGGGTATAATGTGGCTTTGTTGATGTCTTTCTTGTTGTTCTTCCTGTGTTTCAGGGAACTCTGCCTCTGGGTTCCCACCAAGGTAAAATACCTGAAAAACACATATTTACATGAGAACTGATTGAGTATAACATATTGTACATTAGAAACTTTTAAAGTTCAAATCACAAGATCCTACTGTAAGAACAATTTATAACAGAGAATATAATGTATAGTTACACTATTACTTACTCTTGGGGTTGAATCGAGCTGGTTTGCAATGTTAGAAGTGTCAAGAAGACTAATGGCAACAAGAGGTTCATCGCCATTGTTATATGTCCAATACAAAATTCCTGATGGAATGGCAATGATATCACCTTTTCTGAATGTGGCTAAATGAAGACTAATGGCAACAAGAGGTTCATCGCCATTGTTACACTGTCACCTTGTTGCTGCCTTGACTCTTGTGTAGATTGTGATGAACGTGGCTCTTCATAAGTCTCGAGAAAACTGGGAACTGAAAGTCCAAGAACACCCTCTCCTTGGATGATGAAAATCAACTGTAGAGAGGGTGAGAAAGATGGCAAGTGGAATCCATTAGGGTCGATGGTGCGTCTGATAAGAGACACACCGGCACATCTTAGCTCAGGGTGATTTGGATTCCATGTCTCAGTGAGACCAGCTTCGGACTCAACACGGTGGTCTGGTTCCAATGCAGTGATATTGTCTAAGTGGCATTGGTTGAGTCTGTCAAACTCAGAGCGAGTTACTAAACACGCGCTTGCAAAGAGTAGCAAGGAAAGTGAAAGCAAAGATAGGAAAGGTTTGGACATTGTGATTGTGATTGTAAAATACTACTGAGAGAATGGTGAGTGAACTGGTGAAGTCGAGAAGCTGTGTTGTGGTTATTTTTAGGAAGAGAGGAAGGGTAAGAGCGGGGCATGTGTAACAGAATGTGTGTGACATTCTTCAGCATGCATGGCTATGGAATCTTAATTTGGTACACATTATATGTAGATACGAGGTGCAGGTGACCACTTCATTTATTCTTCACAGATAGATGATGATTAGTATATATCCATATTACCACACAGAAACAGAATGAATATTTATTGGTATTCTTATATGTGGAGAAGTGTGTGCAGTAAAATGAAATGAGACCAGATAAATGTTGCAGGAATTTATGTATAATACAACAGTATTACCTTGTTCACAATAGACTTAATCTTATTTCTGGTATATTTAAAATTTTACTCTTTTAAATTGAAATGACATCATTCAAGCAAGTACCATAATTAAGTAAGCATTCTACACCCTTAATCAGGAGCAGAAGCAGCCTAATAGAAAACCAATCAAAATTTATCTAACCCATTGCAACTGTAGTCCAATGTCTAAACATCTAAACATGCCATGTCCCACTCCCACCTATCTAAGCCTATACTTTGTTTATTACAGGTGAAAAGGGGAAAAAGAGCTTCTTAAACTAAAACATCTAATGGTAGACCATTACAAACTCCAAACGACATGCATTGTATAATTCCTATTTCCATATGATCAACTAGATTTTATAGTTTTATAAAAAGTGAGACATGAATATAAAAAATATCATAGAGTATGCATCTCATTAATCACCAATTTCACATTAGTTTATAAATAAACCACAGAGAATTGAGGTTAAGAATTCACAAGTTATTACCTTGTATCACGAATCAGTAATAAACCCTAACAAAACATTGAACAGCGGGGACACATCAGCCCAATGAACATTGTGTCTATTGATCAACAAATGCAAAAGGCACTTCAAATCCATGAATAACCGCAGTTTCAGAACTTAACGGAGACTGAGTAACTCTCACAACCAAGCATAAGGGTTTCAGTGCACGAATTCTCTCTTTCCATTTGGGATCAAATTTCACATTAAATATGTTGTAGTTCTTGCCATCATCAATTACAGCATAAGGGGTAGGTCCATTCTTTGCTGCCCATTCCTTATACCTTGTTTCTGCATTCGGTATGTCTCCTAACTCCTCCATGGTTTGAGGTCCGTTTGAACCAAACATAAGCTCGTACAACTTAGCAGGAACTTCGAAATTGTTTTTTATATAACGGTCTTCTCCCGGTTGCCAGTACTCGTCGTTTGTTTTTTAAAAAAGCTCTTCAATGGTGACTCCACTATCCCCTTTATCGTAATCGTCTACATAGTTATACTCCTAAAAATATAGTTCATTTGGCTCTTTTCCCTCTCTAAGCTTATTGTCAAGAATAATAAACCATTATCCGTAATCATCGTGACCAAAGTAATGCTCCCTTGCATAATTTTCTGTAGCTGACCAACCATTGAAGTCGGCAGCAATTGCACAATAACGAGCTCCTAGAGCCCATTCCATATAATCCACCCAATGTTTTGGATGACGATGCACAAGTAACCCCAAACCAAGAAAACCACAAACAAGAAGTATATTAACAACACCAACAACATCCGTCATCAACTCATAATCACCGTCATTTCACGAAAAATCGAAACTGCAACTTTCGGAACAAAACAATGCGAATAAGATGACACAATCGAATTCCACGACACCAAATCACAAGTCCCTTTATGACATAATTCATCAAACACCTTACGCGCGTGAACAAGTGTATTACATTTACCATACAGCAAAACAACCGCATTACAAACAAATACATTAGAATCAAAACTCAATCGTAATATGAAAGCATGAATCGAAGCCCCCAGATTGAGCCGGAAATAAGATTAAGTGTAGTTCAACAACTTTTAGGGTTTGGCTTCAATTGAGAAAAGGGATTGAGGAAGGAGAGAAGACGCAATAGAAATGAAAATGGTGATGAAGCTTTTATCGAAATCTAAAGGAAAAGGAACGAAGATGAGATTAAGGATATTGAAGTTTAAATTTGGAAATAAAGAAGACCTGAATGAGAAATGGGAAAAGGAAAAACGTGAGTGAGGATATTGAGATTAAAAATATCATTTTAATTTTATAAATATTTTTAAAAAAATTTTGCAACAACTATGAAATCTTAAAAAATGTCTTAAATAAAAATAATATGTACTAAAATTATCTTAAAGAAAATAAATAAAAATAAATAAAAAATAATTTTTGACATTGAACAATTATTTTATACAACATGTCTAAAAAAATTTGCGACGGTTGGCTCAAACCGTCGTGAGAACTGTCGTAGTCCAGGAATAAAGATGGTTTTTTGATAACTGTCGCAAAAAATCTACGACAGTTGACCCTAACTGTCGTGACAACCGTCGCAATCTTGAAATAAGGACGGTTTTGTGATAACTGTCGCAACTCAAGTGTCGTAAATCTCCTTTTTTCTTGTAGTGAGGTATAACAAATCATGGAAGATAAAGTTATACTCCAGGTAACATACCTACTTGTTAGTGAAGGTGAGAAAAAGTACATAAGAATGGGGATTTGAATTGTGTTTTTCATTTTCTTAATTTGCGTCTGATCAGAGTTCAAAATCTAAACTGGTGTTCAGATTATGGTTATACTTAGCAGCAGATGTTAACGGAAGCAAATAAATAATAGCAGAAGACACAAAGATCTATATTGGTTCCTCCCAAATGAGAGTAGTCCAGTCCCCTTGCTTCATAAGAGATTTTCACTATAACCAAATCATGATTACAATCGCTTACGTATTTTGCATAAAATTTTAACAATGTTCATATCATAGGTCCGAGACTTCTTTCTTAAACCCCTAAGGCTTAAGACTTCTTTGCTCAAGTCCTACAGACCCAATACTTCCTTGCTTAGACCCTCAACCTAAGACTTTCCTGCTCAATCCCCTTAGGCTCGAGACTTCCTGCTCAAACCACATCCTAATACTTTTCTGCTCAAGTCCCTTAGACCCGAGACTTCCTGGTCAATCCCCTCTGCCCCAAGACTTCTACTCAAGCCCTCGATCCGATACTTCTTTGCTAAGGTTCCACGAACCCAAGACTTATGCTAAATCAGTCCACTTGATTATAACTATCAATGCTCTAGCACATAGTTGGAGACTTACATGGCTTAAGCATCTTTGCGAGAGAGTTAGATTTGCTCAATTAATCTACTTGATTAAGACTTTCATTGCTCTATCACATAGAATGCGATTTATATGGCTCAAACATCTTGGTCAGAGAATTTGATCTAAACTGCTAAACAACATGTTCAGCAGAATAGAGAACAAGGTGTACTTGATACAAATATCAGAGGTACAGTGAAATCACCATAACAAAGACCTAAAGCTCTTAAGATTTCTAAGATATTCAATGTGTAAGAATTCTTAAGGCTTTTACAATTACAACCTACAACAGAAATTCTGCATAATTAATTGTATTGATAATTGCTAATTTTGTTACTCCTCCATTAGGTTGATCCTTGTTGAAGATTCAGTGTGAACCTTTAGCTACTTATATAGCATTTGCAGAAGACTAGTTGTTGGAGATATAACTTGATAAAGTGTCTTTTCTTTCTCCATAGTACAAGATGCGTTGAAGATATATACACCAAAAGATAGTGATTCATTGTGTATCGTGTTTAACCATTGAGTCTTCAAAAAGATCCTGTACTATAGAGCTATTGAGAGTAGATATCAATAAAGCATGCCAACTTTTCTTGAGGCTTGTGAACTAAGACTCTAGCTGACAAACTGATTTTACAATGCAGCTTGCTTTTTGCAGTACAAATAGCTACAACTTTATCATTAACTCTGAATGATCACAAGAAGTCAATTTACATTCACCAAGTGTAGAGACAATAATGTTGCTTCTTCTGATGTTGATACCTTCAGCTTCAGAGTCTACGTCAGACATCACTTCAAGAGTGTTCTTCAGATTCTGCACCATCAGAAGCTAGCAATCCAACTTCTCTCAAGTGTGCCTTTGTATATTAAATTTTGAATATATATATATATATATATATATATATATATATATATATATATATATATATATATATATATATATATATATATATATATATATATATATATATATATATATATATATATATATATATATATATATATATATATATATATATATATATATATATATATATATATATATATTAGAACTTGTATACAAGAAACACACATCAAATATAACCATTGTTATTTTAATACTTTGTTATCATCAAAATCCAAATAGTGCATATTATGAACAAATCTTGTTCTAACAGTTAGCTCTGCAAAAAATACAGTCACTTAATGCTAAAATGTTGGCATCTATTTGACGAATTGTTTGACCTTACATCAACCAAAACTCAATCTCAAAGCTCTACAAAAAAATGTATTAGTCAATGCATCATATACTCAAAAAGCTCTGCATTGTTGTGAATCGGATACCTTTAAACAAAGTATAAACGGTTTCTTAATGATCAAGAAACTCACAAGGGTTAGGGTTAACAAAGAAAACAAGGTAAAACAACAAGGAACAACAAGGATTGGTTATTAAACTGCTATTCTTTCCTTTCTCATAGAACAAGATTACAAGTATACAAGAATAACAAAATAACCTCTCTCCCTTGAAATTAGGATTTTATCTTCCTATTTTTCCTTATGCCAAGATTGAGAAACTAGCATCCTATTTATAATAAAATAGCACATGCTAACAACCTTAGCAATATTTACTCATGCTAACAACCTTAGCAATATTTACTCATGCTAACAACCTTAGCAATATTTACTCATGCATGTTAGAACAAACTTCGACTACAACACGCATTACTTGCGAACAGACTTCGACCACACTAGAGTTCGATCCAATGTCTCACAAATCTCCACCTTGGATCTAACTCTATAACATCAAGAAACTAGCTTTCTTCATGCAGATTTATTAACTGCATATAGTGGAAAAACTTGCAACTGGGCAATGTCTTGGTGATCATATCAGCAGCATTATGATCTGTCGAAACTTTCAGCACTTGGACTTCTCCACGCTCGATTACCCCTCTGATGAAATGCAGCCTCACATCAATGTGCTTGGTTCGCTCATGATAGGCTGAATTCTTCGACAGATGTATTGCACTTTGACTATCACATTTAACAGTGATAACTCGACCTTGAAGTTTTAGCTCCTTTGCAAAACCTTCAAGCCACAATGCTTCCTTCACAGCTTCAGTTAGGGCAATATACTCCGCTTCAGTGGTTGATAGAGCAACGACCTTCTGAAGTGTTGCTTTCCAACTGATTGCTGTCCCAAACATAGTGAACACATATCCAAAGATAGATTTTCTGGAATCCATACAACCTGCATAATCAGAGTCGACATATCCATCGATTGCTGCTTTACTATCTTCACCTAAGGCTCCACCATAAATTAGGACTCTATTTAGAGACCCATTTATGTACCTTAAAATCCACTTCAATGCTTGCCAGTGAGCCTTTCCAGAATTCGCCATGTACCTGCTTACAAGACTTACTGCATATGCTATGTCGGGTATAGTACAGACCATAGCATACATCAAAGACCAATTTGTCTTCTTTTGATTCCTCATAACTTCCTTATAGTCTCTAGGTTCTTCGTCTAGAACCTCACTTGCAGAGATTAAGGCATAAGCTATAAGATCTGCATACCCAAGTCTCTGAGGTGGCTTGATGACTCTCCTCGTCCTGTCTCTTGCTAGCAGGTAGTCATTATCAGTCTCCTCATCTTCGACAACATCTTCTGTGTCTTCTTCGACTTCATCTGGGGTAAGCAATTCAGCATCAACATGCTCCACCTCAACAGGAATCTCTCCCTGTTCCAGCTCTTCGTCAGCATCATCAGTTTTCTTGAAAGCCATCTCTGCTTCGTTGAAAACTACATCTCGACTGGTGATACACCTCTTGTGACCTGGCTCTAGGCACCATAGCCTATAAGCTTTGACTCCTTCAGGGTATCCCATGAACATCAACTTTAGAGCTCTAGGTTCGACCTTGTCTTGCCTAATATGAGCATAGGCCACACAGCCAAATACTCTCAGTCTGTCGAGACTAGGTGGATGTCCCGACCAAACTTCTTCAGGTGTCTTCACTCCCAAGGCAGTCGAGGGACATCTATTTATCAGGTAAGCTGCTGTTGAAACAGCTTCCGCCCAAAACACCTTCTTCAATCCAGCACTAACCAACATGCATCTAACCCTTTCAAGGATTGTTCGATTGAATCTCTCAGCTAAGCCATTTTGTTGAGGAGTACCTGCTACAGTCTTATGCCTTGCAATCCCAGACCCAACACAGTAACTGTCGAAAGCTTCGTTGCAGAATTCAAGGCCATTGTCGGTTCTCAACCTCTTAACCTTTCTGCCAGTCTGAGTTTCGACTAGAATCTTCCAACTTTTGAAATTCTCAAAAGTTTCATCCTTCGTCTTCTGAATGAATACCCATAGTTTTCTGGAATAGTCATCAACGATGGATAGAAAATACCTTGCACCTGAGTGTGAAGGATTCCTTGCAGGCCCCCAAAGATCAGCATGAATGTAATCTAGGGATC